ACAATTCAAGGAGAATCACTGGAGATTGTGGAAAACTTTACATACCTCGGTAGTAGTATTAACTCTGACGGAAGTGTGTCTGATGAAGTCAGTACAAAAATCTCAAAGGCTCGAATCACGTTTGCTAATTTGCGTAACTTGTGGCGTCAAAAAGGCATCTCAGTAGATCTTAAGGGTCGTGTGTACCAGGCTGCATTAAGGGCTTTGTTGTATGGGTGCGAGACAACCTCTGCGAACAGATGATGTGGGGCATCTTCAGGTTTTCGAACACCGATGCCTCAGAAGCGTCAGCGTATTAGTAACGAGGTGATTAGAAAACGGGTATTTGGTTGTGCTGCAGGTACTTTAATCTGAGAAAACATCCAGCATCGTCGTTACGGCAATGAAGCATCGATGTTGAACACTGTTGTCATGCTGTCGATGATGATGATGATACCAGCATCGTCGACTTACGTTGCTCCGTCATGTGCTACGCATACCGAAACACCGTATACCGAGATGAGTGTTGATCTCCGTGCGTCCTTCAGGGTGGCGCATAGCATTGACAGCGTATGACTTGACAGAAAGGCTTGAAAGAGATCACGAATAGTTTGGGTGTCGTTGGTTTTGTACGCCTTCCAGGAGGGAGGCCCTGTGACCTTGTCTGTGCTTGGCTGGAGACGTTGCGATAAGTGGTGACTAGCCGATATCAGTGGCTTCAATGTTGTCAGTTGCTTTTCAGATTGTCTGGTTGAGCGGTTGGAGGTGTAGGCGCCTCAGAATGGTTGACATAGGCCAGCATTAGTTCCCCTCCCTCACCTACTCTTCGTTTCACTCTAGGGCATATTATATATATATATATACCTTATGGTTGTATGGTAGTGAAGTATCACTGCCAACGCTGATGTTGCTGTCTTTGGTGATGATAATGATGGAAGAATCAGAAGGGAAAGGAGAACAGTTGCCTGCACCTTGACGTACTCCCCATCGTATGTTAACTCCAGACATATTGTACCCGGACCGTTGGTTTTGTTACTCTTCATACAAGATCCCAGCAATAATGGAAGCATCTAAAGCACCACCTGTTGTCTACTTTGGAAAACTGAGTGCGAGGTTTAGGTGCACTTGAAAGCGCTGTGATTCCACGGGCTGTCGCATAAAATTCCTGCCTCTGTGCCTTCGGGTTTTCCTTAGGGCCTTATCGATGCACCTCCTCTCTTCATAGTTTATACACTGGATGTCCCATCTCCATGTGAGCGCTATTTTTAAACGAGACAGACACTTCGAACTAGTTATACGTCATGCGTCACTGAATTACCCTACCCGCACATACCTTGAGTGCTCTAAACACCTAAAATAAACGGTACTTGGTTAGGATTTCCATGAAGTATATTAGTAAGCGGTCATCTTCATTTTATTAGGGGCACTTTCTTCTGTGTGGTGGAAACTGCCGTTGGTGTGAAATTGTCAGACGCATTACACTGTGCATTCTGATTTCCAAATGTATGGTTCGACACTAAACAGTATCCCGTTGTGAGATGGTCTTGCGGAAGGTTGCCGAATAATCGATTCCGCCATATTATTGACCGATTGAATGTCAAATGGGCCCAAACGGTTGTGCGCGAAAAAACGATCACAGCTGCTTAGTCTATATACCACACACCTGAACTGCGCAGAACTGTTTATATAGTATTGGGTATTGATAACTTTGAAACAATGCACCAACATTCCCGGCATGCTGATGAGTTGCTGTCTGCTTGTATCTGATTGTCTGGTGTTGACGGTGAACAACGGACTTCTCAAACCTTACCCATTCGTGCTCCTTAAGCACTTCCTTAACTCATTCGGTACACAGATTGGATGTATTTGCAGATCCCGCTTGTGCATCTCTTTCAGCTCCACAATATAAACCTGGTCAATCAAACCTGCTCAATCTGCAATCTCCAGTCAATAGCGCCACCGCTCATCTGTCTGAGGAAATGATGCTCCGATCGCTTTATCCTTATGACGGCCCATTTGAAGGGTCTCTGCACTTCGCGGCAAATGAGTCCTTTCTGAAAATTCGCAGTGAAAACGAATATTGGTTTCTGGTTTCTAAGCCGGACGGTACAGTCGGTTGTGTACCCTACAATTACGTGGAGCCTGATAAAGTACCTCGGCGATTCAATCACCTGTTTACTTGACAGGAGCAAAATGAGCAAACAATAGTGAAGTGTGCAAGACTGGCTCTGGCCTCAATTAACCGTAGTTCGTCATTTAAGAACAAGGAAGACATTATCGAGTAATTAATTGTTTTTATCCGACGACAGCGTCCTTTGTCCTTTAGAGTCCTTCGAAAGCTAGTGAAAGATACTAATGATAGTAGTGTTCACCCTACTCCACCTTTGTCAAAGCCCACGGCCACCTCATTCCGGCCATCTCACAAGCCGAGACCTCCAGAACGAGGTAAGTTTATTGTTACAGAATTCTCTGTCTGACGTATTAATGATTATATGCACCAACATAGCGTTCTATTTACATATTTCTGAACTCAACCTCCGGGTGTTTCCAAGGCAATGACCTAGTTGTATAACTGCACTCGCAATGTGACTTCCTTTGGCACTTCACTGCTGATTGTAACCTGTCAGTAACGGAGACCTATTGGATGCTGTTCTATGTAACTACTGTTCTTTTTGCTGCGCTCCTGCGTAGGTGAGGTGTTACGTCAGTTTGTGAAAGCTTTCAACCGCTGATCGAACTCTTGATTCTTTGGTTGTGGAGTGCAGGAACCATAAATCTCGACAGCCGTTGAATCCGTACCCGCTGCTTCGCAAGATCCAATTGATGGTGTGAAACTAGGAATGTTACATGCTGATTGTCGAAACGTTTATGATTCTCCTCTATCCCTGACACCGACTGATCCTGTATAGGCGCAGGGAAATTGTTCCCATACCTTTTGCAATTCAGGTTGCATTCGCGCAAAACGTACTACCTTAGCTGAACGGTCTCACTAAACCTCCGGGTACAAAACGGTGTTACGTAAGCAGAGCTAACAGGGCCATATTCCTTCGACCTGATAATTAGTTCTTTGTGATTCCGTGTGTTTCACTGGGAACCCCTCGGATATTATGATTTGTGGATATTCTTGTCTAGGCATTGGCAACTTGACAGTAACTCAGTCCTCATGCTTCCTTTCAGATGACTAATCAGCTATGCTCTGAAATGGTGTTGCAGCTGAACAGCTATTACTGTTTTGGAGTGCTTATTCTTACCAGTTGCTGGCGTTATTTATCAGGCGGGCATCAGCAAAGATCGCTGCTGGTAATGCTGACCTGTGGGGATTACAGGTCAAACGCTTTTCTGGCACTGTAGGTTATCTAGTAGCAGCTCCATTTGTGCTATTAACTACCCAGTTGTCCCCCAAGACGACAGCGTTTTCTTTTACATGATGGATGCGAGGCCCTGTGACCTTGTCTGTGCTTGGCTGGAGACGTTGCGATAAGTGGTGACTAGCCGATATCAGTGGCTTCAATGTTGTCAGTTGCTTTTCAGATTGTCTGGTTGAGCGGTTGGAGGTGTAGGCGCCTCAGAATGGTTGACATAGGCCAGCATTAGTTCCCCTCCCTCACCTACTCTTCGTTTCACTCTAGGGCATATTATATATATATATATATATATATATATATATATATATTATGTGTGTATGGTAGAGAAGTATCTCTGCCAACGCTGATGTTGC